CGATGATTTCTGTGTTGTTTACTAGGATTTCTCTGGCGATGGTTTGGTTGTGGGAAGAGATTATATGTTCCTTAATGGAGCCCTGTTGCTTATGCATCGTTAAACGCCTAGAAAGAAACGTTGTTGTCTTGCCTATATACAGGTTTTTTTGGAGCTTACAGTCCCCAAGTGGGCATTTGAAGGCATAGACGACGTTAGTCTCTTTTAAAGCGTTCTGTTTTGTGTCTGGAGAGTTTCTCATGAGTAGGCTGGCCGTTTTTCTGATTTTATAGTAAATCGTCAGTTGTATCCTCTGATTTTTGTCTGTAGGGATAACGTTTCTATTAACAATATCTTTCAGGACCCTTTCCTCCGTTTTATGAGCTGTGGAAAAGAAGTTCCTGTAAAATAGTCTAATAGGGGGTATAGGTGTTGTGTTAGTTGTCTCTTCAGAGGTTGCATGGCTTTTCACTTTCCTTCTTATGATGTCTTCGACGAAACCATTGGAGAAGCCGTTATTGACTAGGACCTGCCTTACCCTACAGAGTTCTTCGTCGACTTGCTTCCATTCTGAGCTGTGGCTGAGAGCACGGTCGACATATGCGTTAACAACACCCCTCTTGTACCTGTCTGGGCAGTCGCTGTTGGCATTTAGGCACATTCCTATGTTTGTTTCCTTAGTGTAGACTGCAGTATGGAAACCTCAGCCCTTTTCCATGACTGTTACATCTAGAAAGGGCAGCTTCCCATCCTTTTCCATCTCGTAAGTGAAACGCAGCACGGAACTCTGCTCAAATGCCTCCTTCAGCTTCTGTAGATGTCTGACATCAGGTACCTGTGTAAAAATGTCGTCAACATACCTGCAGTATATGGCCGGTTTCAAGTTCATGTCGACTAAGACTTTTTGCTCGATGGTACCCATGTAGAAGTGGCATTTGAAGGAGAGTTCCCATGAAGGAGGCATTTGAGCAGAGTTCCGTGCTGCGTTTCACTTACGAGATGGAAAAGGATGGGAAGCTGCCCTTTCTAGATGTAAGTCATGGAAAAGGGCGGAGGTTTCCACACTGCAGTCTACACTAAGGAAACAAACATAGGAATGTGCCTAAATGCCAACAGCGACTGCCCAGACAGGTACAAGAGGAGTGTTGTTAACGCATATGTCGACCGTGCTCTCAGCCACAGCTCAGAATGGAAGCAAGTCGACGAAGAACTCTGTAGGGTAAGGCAGGTCCTAGTCAATAACGGCTTCTCCAATGGTTTCGTCGAAGACATCATAAGAAGGAAAGTGAAAAGCCATGCAACCTCTGAAGAGACAACTAACACAACACCTATACCCCCTATTAGACTATTTTACAGGAACTTCTTTTCCACAGCTCATAAAATGGAGGAAAGGGTCCTGAAAGATATTGTTAATAGAAACGTTATCCCTACAGACAAAAATCAGAGGATAGAACTGACGATTTACTATAAAACCAGAAAAACGGCCAGCCTACTCATGAGAAACTCTCCAGACACAAAACAGAACGCTTTAAAAGAGACTAACGTCGTCTATGCCTTCAAATGCCCACTTGGGGACTGTAAGCTCCAAAAACCCAGTATATAGGCAAGACAACAACGTCTCTTTCTAGGCGTTTAACGATGCATAAGCAACAGGGCTCCATTAAGGAACATATAATCTCTTCCCACAACCAAACCATCGCCAGAGAAATCCTAGTAAACAACACAGAAATCATCGATAGATACAGCGATAGCAGGCGGCTTGACGTTTGCGAGGCACTACACATCAAGAAGTCAACACCAGCAATCAACAGCCAATTATTGCACAACTATATTCTACCCACCTCAAGACTCCGCTCCAATATAGAAGCATCAAGAAATATGGACCAATAGGCTTTCTACAAACACTTCTATTCAATATCCATTGCTTCGTGTTCTGTCTTGTGTTGATGAAATTAATACCCTATTAATACTCTTGTTCTGTCTTGTGTTGATGAAATTAATACCCTATTAATACCACATTTTGTTCTGTCTTGTGTTAATGCCACATCACCCCTCCCACCTCACTCAAATGTAGATATAAAATCGGAGATACGTAAGTTCTATTCAGTTGTGTATTTGTGAACTACAGTCTTTGAAAATGTAATAAGTTTTACGAAACGCGCCCGTGTCGCGTCAGACTAGAAATAAAAATGAATTTTGGAGAATTGATTTTTGATTTACCTCCAACAGTGAAGCGTAATGTACGAAAGATTGAGAAAATTCGTGTTAGAATTATTAATCTTACTTTTTCGGTCATATTTAATAATATATATATATATATATATATATATATATATATATATATATATATATATATATATATATATATATATATATATATATATGTCGTTTATTTTGGTTTTATAATAAATTGTCAATTGTATTTTCTGATTTTTGTCTGCAGGGATAACGTTCCTATCAACAATATCTTTCAGGACTCTTTCCTCTGTTTCATGAGCCGTCGAAAAGAAGTTCCTGTAAAATAGTCTAATAGAGGGTACAAGTGTTGTGTTGGCTGACTCTTCAGAGGTTGCATGGCGTTTCACCTTTCTATTTATGATGTCTTCAACGAAACCGTTAGAGAAGCCGTTGTTGACTAGGACCTGCCTTACCCTACAGAGTTCTTCAGCGACTTCTTCATTTATACCCATTGTTTCGTGTTCTGTCTTGTGTTTTCACCTCACCCTAAACTTTTGTACCATGTCACCTCATCCAATAGAGTATAAGTACGAAGAATTTGTGTGTAAATTAAGTCTTTGAAAATGTAATAGGGAATTACGAAACGCGGTCAGGCGTTAGACAATTAAAAAATGAATTTTGGAGAATTGTTATTTTTATTACCACCGACAGTGAAGAAAAACATAAGAAATATTGAGAAAATTCGGGTTAGAATTATTAATCTTACCTTTTTGGTCATATTCAACAACATATGTTTACAAGAAAGACTGCTACCAAAATATACTAATATATATATATATATATATATATATATATATATATATATATATATATATATATATATATATATATATATATATATATATATATATATATATGAACCAGTTATGAACCTGAGCACAAATATGATAGAGCCACTCAGGCATAATTTGAAGTGGAAAATTTGTGCCCATAATGTATGTGGCGAGACAAATAGACTGTTGCATCTAACAGAAATACACGTGTTGTTGTATTAGTTTTGTATTGTATTAGTTAAGGAGAGGGAGGGGAGGGAATTATCACAGTAAAGCACCAAGCCATTACGACTATATAGCACTGGGAAGGGGTCAGGATAAGGGTTTGGGATGGGACGGGGGAAAAAGAACGGTGCCCAACTACTTGGACCACCGGGGATTGAACGCTGACCTGCATGAAGGGAGACCGTCGCTCTACCGTCCAGCCCAAGTGGTTAGACAGAGAGAAGGAGATAGAAATCAGCAACCAAGCGTAAACTATGTTAGGCCTAGTTTACGTTTATGTACTTATTAGCACACACACATGTCCTAATGTAGGCCTAAGATGGCCTAGCATTAGGTGTTAGGCCTAGGATAGCTAATTTAGGCCTAGGAGAAGTTAGTTTATGTTCTACAGTTACCATTCCAGTTTTTGGAAGGACATTTTAAGTATTCCAACGTTAGAAATAAAACTGGGGTCCAATTTATATACGTTTGACCAATAGTCGCTTTACGAATATTATTCGTAAAGTATTCGTAAATTCGTAAAATGTACTCCGAATATTATTACTGCAATGCCATTAATGAAGTAGTTCCGTCAAGTTACATACTGATCTCTTAGATCAACCTGTCCTCTTACGAAGAACGTCGCTTTTTGCACGTATGCGTCACATAAGGCCAACAATAGTCGTACTAGAAAATGAAAGCGGCTGGCGAAAGTGACGTACTGTCCCGTTTTCTGTTTTGGGTCCTCTGGTAGGTTAGGAGAGACCACTTTAAATTGACCGTTTTGTTGACGTTGGGAAACCTTAGGAGGACGGGGTGCTTAGACACTGGCATGATAACCTCCACTGGACAGGAATTCATTAAACACGTATTTGTCACCTTACGAAACCTGTACATCTTTTTCCAATCATCTTGAGGTTATCTTGAGATGATTTCGGGGCTTTTTAGTGTCCCCGCGGCCCGGTCCTCGACCAGGCCTCCACCCCCAGGAAGCAGCCCGTGACAGCTGACTAACTCCCAGGTACCTATTTACTGCTAGGTAACAGGGGCATTCAGGGTGAAAGAAACTTTGCCCATTTGTTTCTGCCTCGTGCGGGAATCGAACCCGCGCCACAGAATTACGAGTCCTGCGCGCTATCCACCAGGCTACGAGATCATAGCGGAATAGTTTGCCTTAATTAAATAGTTTAACAGCTTCGAATCGCTACGAGTTAATAACAGTGGTAACCTTAGGTTCCGGTGTCCTGAAGCTGGTAAACTATTTACTATACACCGCGTCCTGGAGCAAGGATCTACAGGTTTCGTCAGTAGATGCGTAAAGGCTTCATATATCCTGATCCAAATCACTAAATCACTTAACAGTCATACATCCAAAATGAGTTGGTAAATATGTAATGCTGATGTATGTGTATTTATTACATAAATTAGTATATGTTTACAATGTACACACACACATGTGAATTTCGTAAGCAGTATATCAGCTCTGTTTAACAACCTCGAAGTTTAACAACCTTAAAGCACAACGAGGTTGTTATGTCAATAACCTTGGCTTGTCAGGTTCCTAGCTCGTAAACTGTTTAATACATGTCATCAACACAGCAGTGATTAGGGAAGGATGCAGCGGTTTCGTCACTGGATACGTGAATGATTGATGCCTTCTGGCCCAGGAGTCTTATTCCTAAGTCCCTCTGCGGGTGGTCCACCTTCACTGTCCAGTGTCCAGACCCTGGCCCTCCTGGGTGGCCCACATGGCCACTATAGAGGACACAATAACCAGGTATTTTGTCCAACAGGTATAGTACTGACCACTTCAACAGGTATAGTACTGACCACTTCAACAGGTATAGTACTGACCACTTCAACAGGTATAGTACTGACCACTTCAACAGGTATAGTACTGACCACTTCAACAGGTATAGTAATGACCACTTCAACAGGTATAGTACTGACCACTTCAACAGGTATAGTAATGACCACTTCAACAAGTATAGTACTGACCACTTCAACAGGTATAGTACTGACCACTTCAACAGGTATAGTACTGACCACTTCAACAGGTATAGTAATGACCACTTCAACAAGTATAGTACTGACCACTTCAACAGGTATAGTAATGACCACTTCAACAAGTATAGTACTGACCACTTCAACAGGTATAGTAATGACCACTTCAACAAGTATAGTACTGACCACTTCAACAGGTATAGTACTGACCACTTCAACAGGTATAGTACTGACCACTTCAACAGGTATAGTAATGACCACTTCAACAAGTATAGTACTGACCACTTCAACAGGTATAGTAATGACCACTTCAACAAGTATAGTACTGACCACTTCAACAGGTATAGTACTGACCACTTCAACAGGTATAGTACTGACCACTTCAACAGGTATAGTACTGACCACTTCAACAGGTATAGTACTGACCACTTCAACAGGTATAGTAATGACCACTTCAACAGGTATAGTAATGACCACTTCAACAAGTATAGTACTGACCACTTCAACAGGTATAGTAATGACCACTTCAACAGGTATAGTACTGACCACTTCAACAGGTATAGTACTGACCACTTCAACAGGTATAGTACTGACCACTTCAACAGGTATAGTACTGACCACTTCAACAGGTATAGTACTGATAACAGCAACAACCACAACAACAACTACAACACCAACCACAACAACAACATCACCAACCACAACAACTACAGCAACAAACACAACAACTACAGCACCAACCACAACAACTACAGCACCAACAATAACAACCACAATTATCCCAGTCCAAAAAGTGAAAAATGAAAAGCAACAGAAGAATCCGTGGTTCAACCAGGAATGTGCGGCAGCAAAACAATTGAGTAAAAGAACATGGCGACCCTACAGGAACAACAGAACACCAGAGAGCAGAGAGAGATACCAGAGGGCCAGGAATGAGTACATCAGAGTGAGGAGAGAAGCAGAGAGACAGTACGAAAATGACATCGCGAGTAAAGCTAAGACCCAACCAAAACTGCTCCAGAGCCACATCAGGAGGAAAATAACAGTGAAGGAACAAGTGATGAAACTGAGAAAAGGGGAGAACAGATACACAAAGAACGACAAAGAGGTGTGTGAAGAACTCAACAAGATATTCCAGGAGGTCTTCACAATAGAACAAGGAGAGGTCCCTGCACTAAATGAGGAGGCAAACCGAACAACCTTGGAGGAAATTTACCTCACCAGTGATGAGGTCAAAAGGAATCTGTTGGAGCCGAATGTGTCAAAGGCTGTTAGGCCTGACAGAATCTCACCGTGGATTCTAAAAGAAGGTGCAGAAGCACTAAGTGTGCCACTCTCTATGGTGTATAACAGGTCACTGGAAACGGGAGACCTTCCGGAAAGCTGGAAGACAGCTAATGTAGTACCAATTTACAAAAAGGGTGATAGGCAAGAGGCACTGAACTACAGGCCAGTTTCCCTAACTTGTATACCATGCAAGGTGAAGGAGAAGATTGTGAGGAAAAGGCTCGAAGAGCATCAGGAGGGAAACACCTTTGTAACACACCACCAGCATGGGTTCAGAGATGGTAAATCGTGCCTCACAGGCCTAATAGAATTCTATGACCAAGCAACACAAATTAGGCAGGAAAGAGAAGGGTGGGCAGACTGCATTTTCTTGGACTGTCAGAAAGCCTTTGACACAGTACCTCACAAAAGGCTGTTACAAAAGTTGGAGCAACAGGCAGGAGTAAAAGGTAAGGGGCTCCAGTGGATAAGGGAGTATCTAAGCAATAGGAAACAGCGAGTAACGGTGAGGGGGGAGGCATCAGAGTGGCGAGATGTCACCAGCGGGGTTCCACAGGGATCTGTACTCGGACCCATCCTGTTTTTAGTGTATGTAAATGACCTTCGAGAGGGTATAGACTCATTCCTCTCAATGTTTGCTGATGATGCAAAAATTACGAGAAGAATCAAAACAGATGAAGATAGACAGAGACTACAGGACGACCTGGACAAACTGGAGGAACGGTCTAGAAAATGGATGCTAAAGTTCAACTCAGGAAAGTGTAAAGTAATGAAATTAGGCGAAGGGAGCAGAACGCTTAACACAAGGTACCATCTGGGAGGTGAAATCCTGTAAGTCAAATAGAGAGAAAGATCTGGGGGTCGATATCACACCGAACCTGTCCCCAGAGGCCCACATCAAAATGATATCATCAGCGGCATATGCTAGACTGGCCAATATAAGAACTGCCTTTAGAAACGTGTGTAAGGAATCGTTCAGGACCCTGTATACCACTTATGTAAGACCAATCCTGGAGTATGCAGCTCCAGCCTGGAGTCCATACCTAGTAAAACACAAGACGAAGTTACAGAAGATTCAGAGGTATGCCACCAGACTGGTTCCGGGACTGAGAGGAATGAGCTACGAGGAAAGGCTAAGGGAGCTGAACCTCACAACCCTGGAAAACAGAAGAGTAAGGAGAGACATGATAACCACCTACAAAATTCTCAGGGGAATTGACAGGGTGGACAAAGACAAACTCTTCAGCGCGAGTGGAACACGAACAAGGGGACACAGGTGAAAACTTAGTACCCAGATGAGCCACAGAGACGTTAGAAAGAACTTTTTCAGTGTCAGGGTAATTAACAAATGGAATGCATTAGGCAGTGATGTGGTGGAGGCTGACTCCGTACACAGTTTGAAATATAGATATGATAGAGCCCAATAGGCTCAGGAATCTGTACACCAGTTGATTGACAGTTGAGAGGCGGGACCAAAGAGCCAGAGCTCAACCCCCGCAAGCACAACTAGGTGAATAACTACAGCACCAACCATAACAACATCAGCACCAAACACAACAACAACAACACCAACCACAACAACAACAGCAGCCGGTGGCCGAGCGGACAGCACGCTGTACACGTGATCCTGTGGTCCCGGGTTCGATCCGGGGCGCCGGCGAGAAACGATTGGCAGAGTTTCTTTTACCTTATGCCCCTGTTACCTAGCAGTAAATAGGTACCTGGGAGTTAGTCAGCTGTCACGGGCTGCTTCCTGGAGTGTGTGTGTGGTGTTGAACAAAAAAGTAGTAGTAGAAACAGTTGAGAGGCGGGCCGAAAGATCAGAGCTCAACCCCCGCAAGCACAACTAGGTGAATACCAACCACAACAGGAGCAGCAAGAGTGCCACAACTGACCAGCCTGGGAGGTGGGGGGGGGCCTCGTGTGCTGGAGGGGGCCACCCCCACCCCCCACTACCAGGCACCTACCGTCTGGCACTCATCATTAATTCACCGTCCTATTCCCATAATGGCACCCACTCTCCCTCGCCCGTCATCTCGCTTTGTGCCGTCCCTCATCCCTTCGCTCACACCCCACAAGGCTTCGCTCACTCCCTACACAATTCTTCAACTATTTTCTGTACGCCAAAATCTCGTACTTCAAAAGCGTAATGTTTACGGCCCCGAGTGTCTTATCGTAGAGCCCATTGAATAATATCAAATAATAGAGTTTGGCGATAGAGTTATAGTTTAAGAGTGCACTCGTAATGATACAAATAATAATTAGGGATGAAGGGTGAATTATGGCGGGAGAGTGAGCGAAGTGTGTTGGGAGCGGCTGGCAGCGCCGTACTGTTGGCTCTAACAGAGGCGCTGCTCTACACATCTGAGCGCTTCTATTGGAATATTTTCCTCTTTTTCGTCCACTACTTGACCCAAAACACCCTCACACGAATTCCAAATTCCCTCTGTGAACAGCTGTTGCTGCCTATTACCGTCATAGGCTGGTATTGTATTAAGCAAGTAACGCTCTTTCATATGTACACAAAACAAAATTCTATCGCTTTTTTTTTCTAGAGATTCTGCGGCAACCCAGCACGCGCAACCCTCTCAGCCTCTGATTGGTCGATACGGCCGTCATCTATGTTTATCTCGCTCCATGATTGGCTCTCGGGAGACGCGGATCCCCCCGGGGCGAGAGGGAGGCAGCCTATCAGATGAACGCCACATTGCCATGGTTACCGGGGACGCCAGAGCCCAAACAAACGTGAAATACTGCCGGCCGGCCACACGGCTTCCTTCCCCCCGCCCGCGGCTCGTCGCCCTAGCTCGCCTCCTTTCATAATTTACTCTATGAATGCTTGTCCGGGATTTAAGACATGAAGGCGGCCGCTCACTCACTCGCCGCCTGTCGTGCACTAACACATTCGTCCAACAAAGGATGCGGAGCGCGCAGACGCCTCACCTCTCGTAATTACCAACGCATCAATTATTGCCAAGATGAGAACAATTTCATTTCATCTGTTTTTTGGTTGTAATTTACTTTAATGTAACATCGTTGCCGTGCTTGGAAGGGGGTGAGGGAAAGGAGGAGGGGACGGGCGGAAGGAGAAGAAATCCCCTTCCAGTAATTCTCGGCAATATATATAAACGTCTCATTATCCGTTATTAGGAAAATTGCTTAATGCAATCGATTCTCTCGCCCGGCCGCGTTATTGCCGCCATCTCTGACTTCTTAATCTTAATTGATATTGACATGCTCTTGGCAGCGGCCGCGGCAAGGATCCGGCTTCCCCTCACCGGCCTCCCCTCTCCCTCACCCTCCAGGGAGGGCAGAGGTGAGGGAGGAGAGTGGTGAGGGCGGACACCACCCCTTGTGTCCCCTCACACTGGTCCACACCTTGTGTCCCCTCATACTGGTCCACACCTTGTGTTCCCTCACACTGGTCCACCCCATGTGTCCCCCTCATACTGGTCCACCCCATGTGTCCCCCTCACACTGGTCCACCCCATGTGTCCCCCTCACACTGGTCCACCCCATGTGTCCCCCTCATACTTGTCCACCCCATGTGTCCCCCTCATACTGGTCCACCCCATGTGTCCCCCTCATACTGGTCCACATCTTGAGTCCCTTCATACTGGTCCACCCCATAGTGTCCTCTCATACTGGTCCACCCCATGTGTCCCCCTCACACTGGTCCACCCCATGTGTCCCCCTCATACTTGTCCACCCCATGTGTCCCCCTCATACTGGTCCACCTCATGTGTCCCCCTCATACTGGTCCACCCCATGTGTCCCCCTCATACTGGTCCACATCTTGAGTCCCTTCATACTGGTCCACCCCATAGTGTCCTCTCATACTGGTCCACCCCATAGTGTCCCCTCATACTGGTCCACCCCATAGTGTCCCCTCATACTGGTCCACCCCATAGTGTCCCCTCATACTGGTCCACCCCATAATGTCCTCTCATACTGGTCCACCCCATAGTGTCCTCTCATACTGGTCCACCCCATAGTGTCCCCTCATACTGGTCCACCCCATAGTGTCCCCTCATACTGGTCCACCCCATAGTGTCCCCTCATACTGGTCCACCCCATAGTGTCCCCTCATACTGGTCCACCCCATAGTGTCCCCTCATACTGGTCCACCCCATAGTGTCCCCTCATACTGGTCCACCCCATAGTGTCCTCTCATACTGGTCCACCCCATAGTGTCCTCTCATACTGGTCCACCCCATAGTGTCCCCTCATACTGGTCCACCCCATAGTGTCCCCTCATACTGGTCCACCCCATAGTGTCCCCTCATACTGGTCCACCCCATAGTGTCCCCTCATACTGGTCCACCCCAGTGTCCCCTCATACTGGTCCAC